ACAGAAGATCAAGCCCGGAGCTGCACCCATCTGCCTACGTCCTTGGGAATTTTAAGTTCAGTTCAAAATCCGGGATGCATTTATTTCAATTTTTAAAAGAGCGGTGGTAGATTGAAGTTAGCATCTTTCAAGTGCATTACACAGAAATTTAAACGTTATGCAAGATAAACAGGAAAATTAAACAAAAATGCACCCCCCCATCTCTCTTTCTGACTGTTTTCGGGTAAAGGGTCTCTTGCTGCTTTTAAACGAGACCACGCTTGAGCTAATTTTACAGGTTTTGCAGGTAGCAGAATTCGGAGTGCAAAGCCAATTCCTTTAAATGTGGAAGCCAGGGGACATGATGGAAAGAAAGCAACAGAACCAAATCCAGTGTCTCTTCTCCGCTCCGCCCCCAGCATCCAAGTGTTATATATCCCACTAATTACAGGTGCAATAGAAAAGCCCCCTCCCCCCCAAATCAGGAAACTTGGTCCAAAAGTAAGGCAGAGGATAGAGGCACCATAAAGACTTTTATAACACACATTCGTTTCGGCGTAACCCTTTAGGGACCCTTCATCAGAAGCATAAAGCGTATAGCCCCAGATTGATACGTGGAGAGAGACAGAGTAAGGATAGAATTGTCGACTTGGAAGGGACCCCTGAAGGACGTCTATTCCGACCCCCTGCAATGCAGGTAATGGTTGGTCTAAAAACATGCAGGATGGCTGATCGATTTTATTTTATTTTTTAAAAAACCAAATTAACGAAAGAACCAGATATACATTGCCATGCCTGTTAAGAAGGGTTCTTCCCCTCCCCTAAAAAAAAATAGTAAGAGATGGATACCTATGGAAATCATGTTTGTTTGCAAGTTAGCAGAACTTCCCTCCTAGTTAAAAATGCTCAGTGCGCAAACTGACCCTAAACCCCTTATGAACCCCGTGGGATTTCCTGTTCCCGTCAAAATCTTATTACTCCGAGAAAGATTAATAAAGATCTATCAAAACGAATCAAAACCAAGATAATTTTAAACCCATTTTATGGAATGAACCGAATGCTAAAGTTTCAAAGCTAAATAGTATTACACCCGGCCCATCCGAACAGGTGCTGAGGTAGAGCCGGTCAAGAGAACAAACGAATTCAACCAAAGTGATCGCTTGTTGGAAAGAGAAATTCGTCTTCTTGTGGAGGTGGGCGGTAATCCCAACCTTTGTATTGTACTACTAATCCGGACCTCAAACTGATAATAAATTGAGTAATTAAAAAAAAGAAAAAGAAAACGTAGTTGCAGAGACAATTCCTTTCCCTCTCTTTCCCACCGATTGATTTTAAGTGTAACCTGTTTCGGGGCAGGGACCCATCCATTATCCCCCTTTCTCCTAGTTGAAATTAATCTACATGTGCACGGATGGTACCACATAAGCAGCGGGGGGGGGGGGGGAGCCGGCGGAAGGAAAGTAAGGTGCAGGATGAGACCGGATTTTAAAAGCAGTCATTTGCAAAATTATTATTACATCTTAGAAAGAGAGACTTGATTCTGAAGATGTGTTGGGGTTTTTTGTTTTTTTTAATGCAACATGTTTAAAAGCTCAAAGTACCTAAAACAAACTAAACCAATGAAATACGATGATTTGCAAACACAATTAAAGAGGTTCAATTATTTAGAGCTTGCAGGCGTCCTATCCCCTAATTCATTTTTAATAGAGTCTAATTAAGGTTCCTCCAACCGGATTCACACATTTGTAAATATTTCAGAGCAAGACACGGTTTTTCCGCCCTTGAACAAGGCTCTCTCTCAGATTACTCCTGGGCTTAAGAGGAAGAATCTGAGGAGAGAGAATGAAGAGGATCCAGAGGGCGCAGTTTCTTCGGGGAAGTTGAGCGCGAGCGCGCTGGCAGGGGAAAGAATCGGTTGTAGGAAGCAACAAGTGTCAGAAGAGAACGTTCTTAGGGGAATGTGGGGAGAAAGACCTCAGCATAACATTCTATCGGCTTTCTCGTGTCCAAATTGGAAAATTGCCGAACTTCAGTTCTTCCCCGCGCGCTCCCCTCCCCAGCACAAAACTTTTAAAAAGCGGTTCTAAATACACTTTCTTGGGAGCAAGCCTGACCGAAATGAGAGGGACTTTGCTCTCTCCCCGAAGAAGGGTCGCTGCAAAAATACCCCGATCCCCTCCTGCCTGTTTAATGTGAAAACAGGTCAATAGGATTTAATGCCAAATCAGCTGTATTTATGGTCACAGATGAATGCTGCGATCGTAGTCGCAACCGGGAGAAGCAAGCCTCTGCGCATTTACTACCAAGCGAACAGGCAAAAGGGATCGGTATCTATATGTAAAAAAGGCCAGTGTGCGCCCAGTCCTCGGCGCCGTCTACTTTTAAAGCAGTCACTTCCCGATGCGCTTCCTGACTCCAAGCTGGACTCCATCAGAATTCCGGTAATGAGAAGTACAGTATTATTATTATTATTATAAGTCTAAGTTCTTTTACGAAGATATCCGCCCCCTGCCCGAAAAAATAATTAAATCCTGGAATTGTAAAAAAAAGTTTTTGAATAAAAGTTAGACGTAAATTGAAGATTCCACATGGAACGTTAAAAAAGAAAGCGAGCGCAGCCCGCTCCCAGGCGTTTTCACAAGAGTAAAGGCTCTCATCACTCCGGTTTTAACAGAGACTTTGCGTTAAGGTTGCTGCTGCAATCTCCGCGTAATGTCTGAACTTTATTTTTTAAAGGTGAGGAGGGCAGAATTTTAAATGGCGTTTACGTGTAAACCAAATTAAGGTCTTTTGGCATTTGAATTATGAACCGGGGAAGAAGCGGGGAACAACTGTCAAAAGCGCGGTTTAAAGAAGGGCGGCGGGGAGAAGCCTCTTAAGGAAAGAGCTGGACGCAAGGATTTCAGCCCGCTCCGAACATCCACGTTGAAGTTTTTTGTTTTTACTTCGTTGAACCCCCCCCCCCCCTGTGTTTACGTTCAACTCGGAAGCAGCGTTTTAAACCTGATTAATAAACACTTAAGTCAGTATCAAAACGCCATGCGTAAAGTTCAAACCTCCTTCGTCAACTTCAGGTGCTTTGCTGCCTTGCGTCGGTCTCAGGTCCTTAGGAAGGTCGACGTCCCAGACTTTAATGGGATTTCTAGGGTTTGCTAGCAGAATGATAACAAACCCAGATTGGGGGGGGGGCTTTCGACACAGATTTGCAGCGCCATGCTTTCCAAGGTTCACTCTCAAGCCTGTGCGCAACTGGACTGGCTCGCTAATGTGGGTTAGGACCGCAGCCTTTGCCCCCGTCCTATACAATTTATGCTCCTCTCGGAACCTGCAATCCTGGAGGTACTGCTGACGTTTCTGGCGTCCATCCGGCTTCAGTAACTTTGCAACAGCCCTGCAGAAAGTTCCCTAATCCCCCATAAACCATAAAGAGCAATAACTTTTCTTGGTTAAGGCTGCTGTCCACCGCACGCTTACTTGGGAGTAAATCCTTTTGAACCGAGCGGCGATCCAATCTCACGGATAGGGTCGGACTGAAATTCCCAAGCAAAACTTGCAGCCCGCTATCTTAAGCACAATTTTAATGAAGCAAAATTTATCCCGTGGTGACTTAACCCCTCATTAAATATACTTCGGATTCCACGCTTCAGACAGATTTACTCCGGAATTAAAGCATGCACTGGGGTACGGAAGCGCGGATCAACGTAGGTTGTCCCCCAAACCCTAGCCCAGCCGCAACCCGTTAAAGACACTTACTCCAGAGTAGTACCAGCGTGAACAAGGCGCAGTTGCCAGCTTCAGAAACTTTTTCGCCGCTTTAAACAAGAAATACCAAACACACATCCAAAGCGCCTGTTATAAAATTTATTGATCTCTCTTAAAGTTCTTTCTTTGAGGGGAGGAAGGAGAGGGACGGGAGAGGGGGCAAGAGGCATGTTCTCTTCAAAGAAACCAGAGGACACAACAAAATAAAATATTAAAAAAATCTAAATGACCTGTTTCGTGGGGTTGATATGTTCTGTTCGTCAAACTATCCCACGATTAAATCCACAAAACAGAAAAGGCAGGGGAATTTACAGAAATTTACAAGCGCCACGGAGACAACCAGAAAACGTCCCCTCCTCTCCCGTTATCAGCGAATTCTTTTCATTTTCCCTCAAAAGATTAAAATCACATTATTTGCAACAGCAAAGAAAGTATTTTATAAATTTGAAATTCTTTTCCAGTTTCACACAGCCAGCTGGCAATCGGGTTACCCAAAGGTTCCCATCAAAGCAGGATATTTCTACCCGCCCCCCCCCCCCGCGAAGCAAGTTTACTCCAAAGTAAACTTGAGCCTTAAAAAAGGACAGACAAACTTGCTTAACTTCCGAGTAAAACTGATGTTCTGAAATCAACCCGGGGACCCACATAGCAATTTGTATGTATATATATATATATCTCTATATATTTAAAAGCGGGAAGGTGGGGCCGGGGTTACATATATTTAAATATCTTAAAAATTAAAAGACTCCAGACAGATTTAAAGAACTCCAGGCAAGAGGAAGGGGGCAAAGAAACAAAACAACTCGCCCCCGAACAGTAAAAGACAAAATGTAAACATTTAAGACCGAGGCCAGTTGGCCACGTTGCTCTCCCAACCCACCCACCCCCCAAAAAACTTTTTAAGAACCCCCCCCCGAAAAAACTTGTATATCTATAAGGAAGTATGTTTGATATTTCACAGCGGCTTCTTCCAAGGTGAGCAGAAAATTGTGCTCTATGCAGACGTGCAACTCCCCTTTTGTGTTTTATTCACACATCTAAAGTTCCTTTGAGTTGTTTAGTTGGGTAAAGTTCGCTTTACCTTCCTTTGGAGTTCTCCCGCGCCTCTCCCACCCCAAAGCCGTAAACTTCAATGGTGTGGGAATTCAGAGTGGGAGAAGCCACCTACAACGAGAGTCAAGATGCCTGGGGAGACGTCCGCATAGGATTTGCCTTGGGAAGAAGCGTCCAAAAGACTCGCTGGTTAAGATGGAGAGCCCTCTGCCCTCAAACCACCTCTCCTGCTACTAAACCGTAGGCGAGACGTTCGGTGCCAGCGTTTTGAGGAAGCGGTGGTAGAGGGCGATCCGAGGGGAACACGGCTAGATGTGAGTTAGTGGCACGGTGCCGTTGACAGCAGTCCCGGCGCTCGGGTAGTGCTGGTGGACGCCGTGTAGCCGGGTGCCCTGCAGTGTCGACGGGTCGGCCGCGTCGCCCCCGGGCGGAAGGTACATGCTGATCATATCCCTCAAATCTCCAAGGCAGGCCCGCTGGGAGTGCGAGGTGATGGCCGGTGGCGGCGAGCTGGGCTCAGATTTCACCACGGAACCCATCGTCCCCAAGCTCATCGAGTGCCCCGACGGTTGCTGGCCGTAAGCGGCAGCCGCCGCCGCCGCAGCAACTGGAGACATGGTGTAAGTGGAGGCTGCCGCGCTCATGTAGGGTTGAGCGCTGGACATGATGGGGCTGTACTGGAGGCCGCTCACATCGTAGCGGTGCATGGGCTGAAGCTGCGCGTTGCTCATGGCCGGGTGCTGGCTGTAGCCCAGTTGCTCGGGCATCAGCGAGGCGTAAGCGCCGTTGGGCCAGCCGTTCATGTGCGCGTAGGAGTCCAGGCGCTGCCCGACCCCGACGGGGCTGCTGACGCCGCCTCCGCCGGCGCTTCCCGGGGCCAGCAGGTTGCCCGGCAGAGAGTACTTGTCCTTCTTGAGCAGCGTCTTGGTCTTCCGACGTGGCCGGTATTTATAATCCGGGTATTCCTTCATGTGGACGGCGCGGAGCCGCTTGGCCTCGTCGATGAAGGGGCGCTTTTCCGCGTCGCTCAGCAGCTTCCAGTCTGCGCCCAGGCGCTTGGAGATCTCAGAGTTGTGCATCTTGGGGTTTTCCTGAGCCATCTTGCGCCGCTGGCCCCGCGACCACACCATGAACGCGTTCATCGGCCGCTTGACCCGGTCCTGGTCCGTGGCTCCGGTTCCTCCTCCTCCTCCTCCTCCTCCGCCGCCGCCACCCTTGCCGTTGCCTCCCGGAGCGCCGTTCCCGGCCGAACCTCCTCCGGGGTTAGGCTGGGGCGCCTTCAACTCGCTCTCTAGTATGCTGTACATGGCTGGGGCAGGCAGGAGATGCGCCAGCTTGGCTGCCGGGTGGGAAAAGAAATATATTAGACTTACAAGAAGAAAGAGGAGGAGGGCAGGGGAAAAGACTTTTAAGTTCAAAAAGAGTCTCGGAGACCCTGGCTACTAACTTCTCCGGCAGCGGAACGAGCCCCTCTTCGGATCTGCTCTTTCTTCGGACGGCTCTCTTCTCCAACTGCTGCCAGCTCACCAAGCTCTCCGGCCCTATCCGCTGTAGCCTTTCTCTGCGGGCCATTTGATTGACGGCCTATAAATGAGAAGCCGCCGGCCAATCAGAGCGCAGACCTCGACAGGCCCCTGACGCAGGGGGAATTGACCAGGTTCCCAAGCTGCTCCCCTCCCTTCTTCCCACTCACCCGCGCGCCCCGTCCAAAGTTGCAACTTTTAGAGGGTTCATTTTTCCTCTATGCCCCCCTCTCGCCTCACCCCCCCAATGTGGGCATTTATAGCTGTGGGATACCAATGCCAGTCCTTTTCTTCCTCCATCGGGAATATTGAGTGGGTAACTGAATAAAGTTTTTTTTAAAAAAAGATATACCCAAGCACTATTTCCCCTTTCCACCCCGTTTTCACAGGCATGCACGCACACGCACGCACGCACACACACAATTTGAGAAGAAAACCGGTGTGTGTGTGTGTGTGTGTTCTGCAGCTCGGATCCTGTGCACACTCACTGCAGACGCCAAGTACTTTTTCCTGTGTAGGTATCCCTAAAACACCCTCTTGGACAGGGGAGCAACATTTAACTTCGGAGTAAGGACTCGAGTTTAATAAGCAGAGTCTTGCTTACGAGCGAACATATTATTACTGCGATGCTAGAATTCAGCCGAGGGGCTTACTCAAGTAACCTTGCTGCCAATTCGAGCTTGCGAGTTTGTTTTTCCCTCTCCCTCTTCCATTTTTCAGTGGAGAGGAAGGATGGGAGGAACGAAGAAGGAAAAACCATTTTCCATTCTGAGTTTCCAAAAAGAAAAAAAAGACAGAGAGAAGAAAATGCAACTGAATTAGAGGGAGCCGCACAGGAACCCTGCCAGGGGGGAAAGTTGGCATCCTTGGGGAGAAACGCAGAGCAAACTGGCAGAGGCGGATGCACTGTGTGCTGCATGATGGTACAGAGAACAAACTTTGGAAAACTGAAGGAGGGAATACTGGAGAGTGGGTTTCTTGGAAGGAAGAAGGCTGAATGAGCCGCCTCCTGGGACGCGGGAGCAATAAAGCATTTGGGGTGGGAGAGAAAGAAGAGCGTGTGTGTGTGATGGGGGGGGGGGGGAGAACAGTTCCTGAGTTTCCCAAATCTCATGAGAAAAAGGCCCGCCTCCCTCTTCCCCTTGGGGATAAACAAGCAGCAATGAGACCACGGTCTCTCTCTCCCCCCTGGAAAGTAACAGAGGGATCTTGGTGAGGGGGGGGCTGGGGGCGGCGGGGCAAAACAAACCAAAGTTTGCTGCTGCCCACATATCTGTCCCACCTTATACCGCTTTCTGAATGTATCTCCCCAATTCAGTTTTTCCACTCGGCTGCTTGGGGGAGGGGCGCCCCCCCCGCGCGCACACACTCTCAATTTCTCTTTTTGGCGCGGGGGAGTGCGGGGAGGGGGGGAGAGAATCCGTTTTCATGGCAACCACCCAGCAGCGCTGGCTGACGGAGAAAAGAAACTTTTGTGGGGGCGGCTGGAAGGACCAGTTCGCTGGGACTGTCAATCAAGGGGGCCTCCCCTTTTCTCTTCTCTCACACCCACCCCCCGCGCACACACCTGCGAGGCCCACACCATTTCAGGCTGAGCGCACAAACCTTAAAGGCACAGCGTCGCTTCGCTTCTCTCCTCCCCACAACCCCAACTTGGACGGAAGATCTTTTTCTTGGCTAAGCAAATCGTTCCGTTGTGCAACTTGCCAACGCAAGTCCCCCTTTTTTTCTCTCCTAGTGGGGCACGTTTAGCGAGAGCCAGACAAGGAGCCACTAACTTTAGAGTAGTCCTATTCCGGTCAACTGCAGCAGTAGTAAGCTCCAGGGCTGAATGTCCCTTATCCAGTTAAGAAAGCAGAGAGTTTTAGGGCAAAAAAACGGCTTCCTCCCTCCCCCCCATCTCAAAGCGTCAACAAAAAAATGGGTGGAAGGGGGAGAGGAAGGGGGAGTAAAGCCCCCCTGGAAAAGCCTCCTTTATTATTATTGATATTGTTATTTTTTTAAAAAAATAGTAATAGTATTCTGAGCGGCCCTGCATTAGTTGCAAAGCTGTCACTCGGTTTAGTGGGATATGGATTTTCCTTCGTGTGTTTTCCCGAGCACTTCTGGGTGGGTAAGCACTATGTAAGACCTGCTACTCACATGGAGGTAAGTGGGAAAATGGGTAGTTAGAACTGACACAGGACAGGAGACTAGCAAACACAGGGCACACGCCTGTGAATGGGAAGAGTTGGGTCAAGGGAATAGCTCTCCAGTATAGACAGCAAATAAACTCGCTCCCATGCGGATTGAAAATGCAGACTTGCTTAACAAATGTGAGATAACTTCGGAATGCCTCCGGCTGTTGCATCTGACCTCTTCCTGCGGTTTCCTGAAGCCTTTCTTAAAGCCTTTCTTGAAGACAGTCCTAGACACTTTAAAGACACCTATCTTTCAACGTTTGTATAATTAATTAATGCTTGGTTACGTAATAATAAAAAATATTGCTAAATGAATGAAGGAACTCATAAACAGGCACAAGTCCACCAGGTTCACCTCGCTCGACCCAAGCCTATAGAGATGGAGTCAAGAGGAAAGCTTCACCCAAATGATTTCTGTTACAGATAGGTAGCCGTGTTGGTCTGCCATAGTCAAAACAAAAAAAATTCCTTCCAGTAGCACCTTAAAGACCAACTAAGTTAGTTCTTGGTATGAGCTTTCGTGTGCATGCACACTTCTTCAGATACACATCTGAAGAAGTGTATCTGAAGGTGTATCTGAAGAAGATACACATCTGAAGAAGTGTATCTGAAGGTGTATCTGAAGAAGTGTGCATGCACACGAAAGCTCATACCAAGAACTAACTTAGTTGGTCTTTAAGGTGCTACTGGAAGGATTTTTTGTTTTGTTTTGCCAAATGATTTCTGTTTGCCATGGAGCGCTTGAAAGACAGGGTCCTGTTTTGAGAGTGGCGGATCAAGGATCCGCAAGGATCTGCAATCCCAGTACGGAATTAACAAGTAACACCACAAATCGATTAATCAGTCTCATTCCAAACTTTTCCTAGAAGCAAAGGCCATTCATTTACTTCCGCATAAAGAGTAGAGGATCCAGAGGATAAGATAGTCTCCATTCACGGCTCCTGCTTTTACGCTCGTGGAAATAACCGTTGTTATAATCGTTTATAAGCCACTTTACGTTTATTAAGCGCTGAACATACATTAAGTATAGGAGAAACTCTGCTCATAGGCTCACGATCTGACAGACATGACACAAAAGGAAAAATGAAGGAGGAGGGCAGAGGAAAGCAAACATTGTTGCAACTGCTTACATTCTGAGAAGTGCTGATTCTCTTCGTCCAGTGTGGGGATCTCCTCTCCCTCGCCACAGTTACTGACTATTAATAATTTTACTGGAGGTTTATGGAAACATCTGACATATTTTACATTTACATTTTATTGAATATATATTTCAGCGATCTGTATACATGGGCCTAGCGGGGGACGGGGACGGGGGCAGCTGCCCCCTCAATCAATCAAAATCAATACAAATCAACACAAATCTGATGTTCTGCCCCCCATAAAAGCCTGGCTATGCCCATGTCTATATAATTTATTTATTTCATAAAATTTATATACCGCTTGATTGTAAACCCTCCCCAAAGCAGTTTACAACCCACCCAACAAACAAAAAATTGGCCTTGCTGTTAGGAAATGCACATGGTCGAGGCGCAGCCCTCGCGGGTCTGTTCTGTTAGCCAGGCGGCTGCATGGTCACAGACGGAACAGGCTCTAGAGTTATGCCCAGAATACGACGGTTGTGTGGGGAAAGAGCGCCTCCCCGGCATCGGGAAGCTACAGAGCAGGGGGAGCCTCCCTCCCCATCTCTGATCTCACACTCCGCGCCGCCCACCCCCACCCCTCCGCAAACCCTCACATTTCCCAAACCATTCACAACTCTGGTGTTCCAGATGGCCGAGGAAAGCGAACAGGGAAAGCAACGGGGAAGAGCCGTAGCTCAGTGGCGGAGCATCTGCATTGCATACAGAGGGTCTCAAGATCGATCCCCGCCAGTTCCAGGGAGGGCTGGGTGAGCGACTCCTGCCTAACATCCTGGAAAGCCACAGTTAGCCATGGCCGAAGGTTGTTGTTGCTTAGTGTGTCCGACTTTTCGTGACCCTCTGGACCAGAGCACGCCAGGCACTCCTGTCTTCCACTGCCTCCCGCAGTTTGGTCAAACTCATGTTGGTATTTTTGAGAACACTGTCCAATCATCTCGACCTCTGTCGTCCCCTTCTCCTTGTGCCCTCCATCTTTCCCAACATCAGGGTCTTTTCCAGGGAGTCTTCTCTTCTCATGAGGTGGCCAAAGTCTTGGAGCCTCAGCGTCAGGATCTGTCCTTCCAGTGAGCACTGAGGGCTGATTTCCTTAGGAATGGATAGGTATGAATTTCTTGGCCGACGGTACTGAGCCCAATGGACCAGTAGACTACTGTGTTCCAAGAAAATAAAACAAGGGAAGCAAAAGATCCCTGCACCCCCATCCCAGGAGAGGGGATTTTATCACGAGCGGTCTCTTTTTTACTGCTAGTCATCAGCCTAGGGAAGCTGACTCTCCTTGCATCCCGACAAGGTTTTTTTTTAACAAGTTGAAAGATCCCAACTGAAATTAGTCGGCAACTTTCGGATTCTGAAGCACAAAATTCTCTGATCTGAATAAAGAACCACCATTATTATTATTATTCTCCTCCTTCAAATTATTTTATTGCATTTAGGTACATTTCTCCAAAGTGATGTCATGGGCGTAGCCAGGATTTTTGTTGGTGGAGTCCTGAGGGGGGGGGAGGGAACAGAACCTCAGTTAGCTATGCATTTTTATTGATTTCTATTGATTGATGGGGGGGCAGCTGCCCCTCCCTGCCCACCCTTGGCTACGCCCATGAGTAGTTGCACACGTTTCTGCTCCCTGTTCCTTCGTATGGATTGGGCAGGATTCACACGTCCCTGTTTACATTCCAAGTGATGCTATTAAGCATAATAATATAGCAACAGTCACATCAGCTGAATGAACTG